GCTGGAAATCAACAAGATTCATCTCCTCCAGTGAATTACCATAAACGTGACCCTGTTTCTATGGAGAAGTTTTTGGTAATGCCGTTCGAATGCACCCAATGCAACCAGCAATTTTATTTAGAGCAAGACCTCAATCGCCACGAAAGACTACACAATGCCAAAAAAGTCTTTGAATGYTCTCACTGTAATAAGAGATTTTATCATAAGGGTCATCTTCATTCACATCTGAGGGTGCACAACGTGGACAAACCCTACAAATGCCCTCATTGCGATAAACAATATGTCAGTAACAATAATTTAAAGATTCATTTAAGACGACACACAGGGGAGAAACCRTTTGAATGCTCTGTTTGTAGCAAGACATTCACCCAAAGAGGACATTTGTCAGACCATTTGAAAATTCACACAGGGATTAAGCCACATGAGTGTTTTTATTGTAAGAAAGGTTTTGCACGGAGAAGTGCATTAAGAAAACATATGGCAAATCATATAGGTTAAAGTGCTACACTGCGATGCAGAATGTATCTCTGGGACTATGGCATTGTGTTTTTCCTGCTCTTTCCCAATGTGTAATGTTTGTTCTTGTCAACTTTTCGATGTTGAACGCAGATGCAGCAATTTTGTTGTTTACTGTATGTTGTTCTTCAAGATGCCAGAACGAATTTAATTCAATTCAATTTCCACTTATTTTCAWTATGTATTTCAAGATACAATTTATTGTTAAGAATAAATACTGGTAATTGAAATATGAAGATTATCTATGCACGTASTGGATTCCTAGTTGCAGTAATTGACAAAGTAGGGTCATGATGGAGAAATAGAAAAGAAAAACAAGGAAATTGTGAAAAAAAGAAGTAAAAGGAGATCAATAAGACAAAGCATAGAAAAATAACGAAAGCAACAGAATGTGCATCATCTACTGTATCCTTATACAATTTACATGTGTTAAACTAACTTGAGATGAAATATTGATTAATATGCAGTATTGTAGCAATAAGTTTCTGTAGAACCACAGTGTGCAGAGATACACTTGTTACAAACCATTTTTGGAAAAAAATGTTTCATAGGAAAGGAAAACGCTGTATTTTGTTACTGCATAGCTACTAACTATGCCGGAAAGAGAAAGTACATGAGAAAATTAACAACAACTAGGTTAGTGTTGCAATGCAATTTTCCAGCAACCTCTTTGTTACGAAGTTGCTGAAACAAAAAAGATAGATKAACAATGAGCTCTAAAGGTCTCGACTAACTATTTTAAGTTTTGATAAACTTTAAACGGACGACGGAAATCAATGAATTTCCCGGCGCTACAGCTCAACCAGAACGTTTCTAGAAGAGAAAAAGCAAATTAATTTGACTAAAATATTAGCTATAGATATTGTTTTTTGATCGTTGTGCTGGCGTAAGCTTTATGCGCGCACAGATGCCTTGCATACTTTCGCGATAGAGAACCGCTCAGCATAGAAAAAATGCCAAAAAAGGCGCGAAAGCCAAGTTATTATGCTTAAATACGACCGCGATCAACCGAAGTGACTGTTATAAAATCGGTTTGACTGATGAAGCAAACGTTCAAAACATTTACGCGAGTGAACAGACTACTTCTACTTTCATTTAAAGCAACACTTTATTTGATATCTTTTTATAACGTAATTTTTGTTAAAAAGTTTAGCGTTACATGCAAAGTTATAAGTCTATTTTTGTTGACGAAGAATTATCTAAGATAC